CAGATCATCAATTTAAATCTGGTAAGATGGCATGAAGAAAACATAAAATTAAAAATATGAAAACTTAATTTATGAAATAAAGAGCAATTATGATCTAAAGGGTATTAAAATATACAAAAAAAACTTATATTTATTTGTTTACTTTATTAAACATTTCTTTCAAGCGTGCATGCGTAAAGAATACATTACGCATAGTCGAAATTAGAAAATTGCAATCAGAAAACTATTTGATGTGTATCCGTAATATAATGACGAGAAATTTGATTTAAATCATATCAAAAACGGAGTACATTGAGATGAAATACTACATTTAGTAAGGAATTATAAGCCGAATAAAATAAAAACATCTGCCCTGAATATAAGGATAGTGCTGACAGATCAACTTCCAGTTCATTGCGCCGTGATGTTCCTCCCCCCCCCCCCCGCAGAGAGATGTAAAATTGATAAACAGATTTCGGAATGGTTAGAGAAACAAAGGATATGCCTTTATACATTTTTTGCAGCAATTCCACTTTTTGTTTGATGGACATCAAAACATGCTTTCGCTTTGTAGATCCTTCGGCAGCTCCAGAATCAGAAATTCTTTTTGACATAATCTAAAGTTCAAGCTTACTTTTATAAAATTGCTCTAACAGTTCACAAAAAATAATAAGCCGGATCCAATAAGAAGATTAAGGAACAACGCAATCTGCAACATTAACTGAAATAGATAATTAGATAGATAATTTTAGCTTAGCTTATACCGTCGGTTATACATTAAACGCGCATGCATAAACGCATATGCGCATGCGCAGAAAGTTTGTAGCTTTGAGGTCCAGATTATAGATTCGGATGGACGTCCAGATTAAAGACTTTTGACTGTATTCTTATAATAGAAAAGGGGTGGTCACTGTATGCTGCAGAAAAGCTTCTCGAACAGAAAGGTGATGATAAAGAAAAACTAAGTTATTTTATGAACTTGAGCATACTCTCTATAGCCACACTTGGAAATTTTCATTTTTGGGGGGTTAAAAATCTATTATCACACCTGTGCCACTAAAACGAAAGGTAAAGTTCAATAGGAAAATTTTTCACAGATAACAGCAAGTTTAACGAATTAATCAAATGAAAGAAAATCCAGAATGACTTAAAATTTACACACATGCTCAGACATTCATACCCAGAATTAAAAAAAAAAAAAAAAATTTTTTTGTCAATAATGAAATTCTGAATTTAGTTTCAGTATTGCATGATAATCAAAACCAACACTTAAATGTCACTAACATATTTAATGAACTTTTGTCATTATGCAGAATGATACTGGCACAGCTATAACACACTGATTTTTACTTGAAAGAAATGCTCAAATTACTCAATTTTTTTAGTATGATTAGTCTTCATACTAAAAAAATGCTGGATAAATAGCTCAACCACCATACTCAAATAAAAACTGCTATTGATTGGAAACTTGCCTTTACTAGAAAATCCACGAGCATAGCCTTTATACTTTAATATCATAAATTACATGAAATAAATAAAACTATTAAAAACTAAATTCCATATTTATTCAAATTGGTAGGACCATCTGCTACTACTTTTTTTTATCCTAAAAACAAATAATTATTAAATGATATGCATGGCTGGAAATTTATGAATACAGCAAATGACACATACTCTTTAATAAATTCATTTCACATTTTGTTCCAATTGATCGATTTACTAGGAGAAAATTTAAATTATGGACATATCCCATATAATTAGCAGAATTCAGTAGTTAAGGTCAAACATTTCACCAATCTGTTTAAGCCTTGAATTTACCAATAATGATACTATAATTAAGGCCTTTTTACGAAAAGTTAACTTCTATGCAATCAAATAAAGCATGTTAACCTGCAAAACAAGGCACAGAAGTCAACCTTGAAATCTGAAAAATAGCAAGACTTCTGGGAGAAAGTAGAGATGCTTTTACGCTGCGTGGCAACATTAAAAATATATTGATTTATAGATATATTTTAATGCCTTTATTTTTTAAATTGCTTCCAAATGAATTCGTTCTTAATTATATCCAAAAAATTAAAGATTAAAATTGCGATTTAAAAAGCCTACTAGACTTTTCGAGAAATGAAATACTCAGCAGAGAATTGCACAGCTTATGATAATTATAATTCTGAAGAGAAATTCTTGCAATTAGAAAAGCCACTACCTTTCAAATTGAAACCTTTTCCCGACTGCGATATTTTAAGTTTAGAAATGAAAAGGCAGATGTTATTTATGTCTGGATAAAAGGTACAGAGTTAAAAACTGCAATCAAAAAGTAAAATTAGCTTCTATAATTAACAAACATTCGAAAGTGAATTGTTGGGCATTAAAATAACACAAACAAGAACTAAGTATTATACTTATTCAAAAAAGGTACAAAGAACACTATATAGACTAAATAAAAATAATATTCACAGGAAAAGTGCACAGGGCTCTACTCTTATATGCGCCTTCAGTTCACCAAATGTGGCGATATGTGTTCTGCGCTGGTTTTTGGCGCGATTGCATGTTGTATGGCAACTCTTTTGCTGGAGTGTTTTAATTGCTCGTTGGTTCGTGTCGTGCGTGTTTTAAAACGGCCTATGTTGCAATGAGAGACGTGGTTGCAAGAGGGTCTGGGAGGTTATTTTTAGTGGCTGTGCATGATAGAAGTAAGGAAACGCTGATGTATTAAAGAGTGGATTGATCCTTGTGCAACTTTTTTTCGGATGGCCGTAAATCTTACAAGGATTTAGGAAAAGAAGGTTTTTGAACCTTTATTTACGAACATTTATTTGTATGAATTTTCTGGATAGTGTGTCTGGTTGTCATATAAATACGATAATGATTACGTGGCGGCATTAAAATGGTATTTCTGCTGTTCGAAAAAGCCTTCATTCATGGTAAGTGCATTTTATTTTATTCTTAATGTTATGTTCATTGTTTTTTGAACTGTTTGAAAATTATTTTAGTTTATTTAATTGATGAGTGCATAGTGCCTAGATTGCGCAATTCGTAGATGTTTCTTTAATTTGAAACAGAATCGCTGTGTACATGGTATTCTTTGAAATTTATTGTTGTTGTGTTAATTTATTAAAGCGAGGTGTGCATAGTTCGTAGATTCTTTCGCTGCCTAGATTGTGCAATTCGGAGATGCTTTTCAAAGTTAAAACATATCACTGTGTGCAAGGATTCTTGTAAAATATTTTTGGTTAGAAACTTTACGTTTTTGCTATCTAAATTTTTTTTTTTTGGGGGGGGGGGAGTTTTAGCTTAAATTGTGTGTTCAAAATGTGGTTTTTGCATATGCGAAAACCTCGTTTTTAGAAACATTTTAGGCTTAAAGTTCGAAATGTAGACCAAAAAACTTAGAAAGTAATATGGCACCGTGAAGTTTCTCGCCAAAAAATATTGGCGAGAAATTTGGCTACCTCAGGGTGCATATAAGAGTAGTTCCGAAAGTGAATTTTTGGGCATTAAAATAACACAAATAAGAACTAAGTATCATACTTATTCAAAAAAGGTACAAAGAGCAAATTCTATATAGACTAAATAAAAATAATATTCACAGGAAAAGTGCACAGCAAAAATGGATGAGAAAAATACACATGTAAGAATAAATTTTCAAACTGATACATATTCAAAAGAACTGCATGACGAACAGCAACAACGAACTAGCTACACACAGAAATGGCATTTTTCTTGAATCATTAAATTTGGCACATAATCAGATAAAATAAAAATTTTCACACGTAAAAAGCAGAACTTTTATCCTAGAATATAATAAAAAATTCAGTAATTAAGATCAGAAAATCTTTTACCAATCTGTTAGGCCAAGAACTTACCCGCATTAGTTTTAATGAATATTCTCAACAAATCGCATCTCAATCTGTCAAATAAACTGTGTTAATATGCAAAACAAGATATTAAATAATACAAACAAGAATTGACATATTTATTCAAAAGAGGCATAAAGAAGAACAATTTTTACGCAAACTAAGTAAAAAAGGCACCATATACTTGAAATTTTCTCAAAAATTTACAAGCAAAAACTTGATGAATCTCTACATGAGCTAAAGAAAATATCGCATTCAACTTGAAATGAGTTCAGTCAGAAATTTACCAGCACAATAAAAAGAGACATGGAGGGAAAAAAAAAGAATTTTTATATCTACTCAAAAAAAAAAATGCAGAATGAGCAGCAGCAACACAAAACAAAGTAGACAATTAAAAATAGTAATTTTAATGAATCGATCATTAATAATGAAATTCTGGGCATATACCACATAATCAGAGATAAAGTACAAATTTTCATACATAAACAGCAGATTTTATCCTACAATATGATTCAGTAATTAAGAGCAGGTAATATTTTACCAATTTGCTAGGCCAAGATCTTACCATCATTGGTTCTAATGCATTTTTCAACAAACAGCATTACACATCTGTCAAATAAACTGCATTAATCTGCAAAACAACACATTAAAATAATACAACTAATTAACATATTGGCTCAAAAAAGGCATAACGAAGAGCAACTTCTACACAAATTCAGTAAAAATGGCACATTTACTTGAAATATCCTCAATCAAAAGTTTACTAGTAAAGCTTTTACATGTGTTAGAATTTTCGTGGTTACTTAAAAAAAAAATGGAAACAGTAATCTCTACACGACCTAAATGAAAATGGCGCATTTATCTAAAAACACACGGTAATCGGCCAGAAATCTACCAGCACATAAAACAGAAAATGAGCATGAAAAAATATACGCATGCAAAAATTACTTTTCATATTTAATAATAAATATAAGATATAAAGCAAACACTTACCAGAGAAATAGAAACCTTGGTTATTTGACGAATAACCTGAAATTTGCCATTGCGCGCATCTAAAAACAAACAACTTCAAATTAATCAAGCAAAATGTGTAAATTTGGAAAACAAGGTATTAAAAATTTATGGTAGAATTTTAGCATACTTACGGATCAAAAACAGACCACTCTTCAGTCTTCAACCACAGTTCCAGAAATAAGAATGTGCCGATGACGCCAAATTACTTGGCGAGAAAGTTAGTAGATCTTCATGCAACCCAGAGAATCTCGTAACTCCTCCCATTTTTACTCTTTTTTTCTCGTGAAGATAACCTGTCAACAACGAATTCTCACCTTGTCTGTCTGTGATGATAGTTCTATGGTATTGCGCTTATCTGCCATAAATATGATTGAGCCAGATAAACTACTGATGTCAGTGGTATTCTGGCTATAAGTTATCAGTCATCCAGTCTATATATAATACTTGCGTGTAGTCTTTTCTTCATTAAATATATTTAGTTAAAGGAAAGGGTCTTTATTGGGTCAAAATAATACAAGAACCACCGATTATGGATTATGACGAAAGTTATTCCATATGTGTAAAGTATACAAAATATCATTTAAACAAAAAGCTAGTTTAAACATGCATATGCGTATTCACACAAGTGAGAAACCTTATATGTGTGAAGTATGTAAGAAATCATTTAATCGGAAAGCTTATTTAAACAAGCATGTGCTTATTCACACAGGTAAAAAACCTTTTATGTGTGAAGTATGTAACAAATCATTTAATGTGAAAGGTAATTTCAACATTCATATACGTATTCACACAGGAGAGAAACCTTATGTTTGTGAGGTATGTAAGAAATCATTTAATCAAAAATCTAATTTAAACACGCATATGCATATTCACACAGGAGAGAAACCTTATATGTGTGAAGTATGTAAGAAGACATTTACTATAAAAGCTCATTTAAACCTGCATATGCGTATCCATACAGGAGAGAAACCTTATATGTGTGAAGTATGTAAGAAGACGTTTAGTGAAAATAGTAGTTTAAAAACGCATATGTTTATTCACACAGGTGAGAAACCTTATATGTGTGAAGTATGTAAGAAGACGTTTAGTCAAAACAGTAGGTTCAAAAAGCATATGTTTATTCACACAGGTAAGAAACCTTATATGTGTGAAGTATGTGAGAAGACGTTTAGTGAAAATAGGAATTTAAAAAACCATATGCTTATTCACACAGGTGAGAAACCTTATATCTGTGAAGTATGTAAGAAATCATTTAAACAAAAAGCTTGTTTATACAGGCATAAGCGTATTCACACAGGTGAGAAACCTTATATCTGTGAAGTATGCAAGAAGACGTTTAGTGAAAATAGTAATTTAAAAAAGCATATGCTTATTCATACAGGTGAGAAACCATACATGTGTGTAGTATGTAAGAAGTCATTTAATCGAAAAACTGATTTAAACATGCATATGCGTATTTACACAGGTGAGAAACCTTATATGTGTGAAGTATGTAAGAAGCCATTCAGTGAAAAAGGTTATTTAAAGCAGCATATGCTTATTCACACTGGTGGAAAACCTTATATGTGTGAAGTATGTAAGAAATCATTTAATAGAAAAAATAATTTAAATAGGCATATGCTTATTCACACAGTAGAGACACATTATATGTGTGAAGTATGTAAGAAAGCATTTAGTTATAAGTATAATTTAAACAGGCATATGCTTATTCACACAGGGAAACGTTATGTTTGTGAAGCATGCAAGAAGCCATTTAGTCGAAAGTGTAGTTTAAATAACCATATGCTTATTCACACAGGAGAGGAACATGCTTATTCACACAGGTGAGAAACCAAATATGTGTGAAGTATGCAAGAAGGCGTTTAGTGAAAATAGTAGTTTAAAAAAGCATATGCTTATTCACACAAGTGAGAAACCTTATATCTGTGAAGTATGTAAGAAGTCATTTAAACAAAAAGCTTGTTTAAACAAGCATTTGCATATTCACACAGGTGAGAAACCTTTATATGTGTGAAGTATGTAAGAAGTCGTTTAGTGATAAAAGTAATTTAACGCAGCATATGCTTATTCACACTGGTGAGAAACCTTATGAAGTATGTAAGAAATCATTTAATAGAACCTTGTATGTGTGAAGTGTGTAATAAGACATTTAGTGACAAGTCTAGTTTAAAAAGCATGTGCTTATTCACCCAGGTCAGAAACCTTATATGTGTTAAGCATGTAAAAAGACATTTAATGTAACCAGTACTTTAAAAAAGGTAGGTGAAAGTGCAGAATCACCCACTTCTTAGCGCATTTTTAAGAATTGCACCTACTCACTATCCATGTACACATCGACCTATTTTCACTTAAAAAAAAAAAAATCCCAGAATTGCACAAAAAAAAAAAAAAGGCATTCTGTACTCCCTTGACTTTATCCATGTACACATCGACCTATTTTCACTTAAAAAGTCAAAGAAAATTGACAAACCTCCAATTCTTGCTCTTGTAAAAAAGGCCAAACAAATAAGTGGGCGATTCTGTACTTTAGCCAAAAGGCATATGCAGAGTCGTAGCTAGGGTTTTCAGCGCCCAGGGACAACTGAAGATTTCACGCCCCCTAGTGCTTGCCAAGGATGGAAAATATTTAATTCTAAAATGTCGTAACATCAATTTGGCGCCCCTTGGATTCTGCGTCCGGGGACATATGCCTCCCTTGCCCCCGTCTAGCTATGCCCCTAGGTATATGCTTATTCACACAAGTCAGAAACCCCATATATATGAAGTATGTAAGAAGACATTTAGTGTAAAGGGTAGTTTAATTAGGCATATGTGCATTCACACAGATGGAAAGGGGAAAGTGTGGAATCGCCCGCTACTTGGCGCACATCGACCTATTTTCACTTTAAAACAATCCCAGAATTGCACAAAAATGGCATTGCACACCCCCTTGACTTTATCCATGTACACATCCACCTATTTTCACTTAAAAAGTCAAAGAAAATTGACAAAAATCCAATTCTTCTTGCTCTTGTAAAAAAGGCCAAACAAATAAGTGGGCGATTCTGCACTTCACTTGGGGGAAAACCTTATATGTGTGAAATATGTGAGAAATCATTTTTTGAAAAAACTTACTTAAACATCCATGTGCATAATCTTATGTGTGGGGAGTATGTAAGAAGTTATTTAATCGAAAAGCTGATTTAAACATGTACATGCGTATTCACACAGGAAAGAAACCTTATGTGTATGAGGTATGTAAGAAATCATTTATTCAAAAAGCTCATTTAAACATGCATATGTGTATTCACACAAGAGAGAGCCTTCATATATGTGAAGTATGTAAGAATATGCTTAGTGAAAAGGGTACTTTTTCATTTTTCCAGCGCAGGCGATAAAGCCACCAAAAATGGTACAACTGATGCCAAACTTAATATCCTCGCTGGTAACTTTTCAAGCTAAAACATAGAAAAGGCAAAGTCAAGGGTTAAACTCATCAAGTCTATCAAAAGCTATCAAAGTAAAGCACTGCAATTTTAAATAATATCTGAGTAAGTTATTCGTGCGAATTGAAATAATTCTTGCATTAACTTGTATTGCATATATAGATTTAACCTGAAATTAATGTAGATAATTATTGACAGAATTAGATTCTTGTAGTGTAGTTTATGTGAGATGAGATCACTTAGGGTCACGTGATATGAACCAGCGAATCAGGATGTTGTACCATGAAAGCATAGTAAATTTTTAAAATAATGTCTTTTTAAAGTTATTGTCTTTATTTATTACCATTTTACAAAATGTTCAACGATATTAAAATGTTTCTGTCTTCAAAATAAAAAAATTCTTAGAATTAACATTTGTTAACATGTTTTACGTGTATAATGTATTGTTGCCAATAAAGTCTGCTTGGGGTGATCTGCGCCAGCGAAACAGAAAAGTACCGTGAAAAGCATAGTTTTAAGAAGCATATGCATATTCACTCAGGAGAGAAATCTTGTACGAATGAAATCCGTATAATCAAAAAAGTCATTTAAGTATACATATGAATATTCACACAGAGAAACCTTATATGTGCGAAGTATATAACATGTTTACTCAAATGGGTAGTTTAGCAATCATATGTTTATTCACACTGACGAGAAAATTTGTGTGTGTTGTACAAAAATATTCTTTCATTTTTATAAAGAGTATATGGATATCAACATCAGAGATAAATGTTACGTGTTAGGAGTTAACAGGTCACTTAGGGCAATGAAGAAGTTGAAGAAACATATCTCTTACCTGTACAGAAGAGAAACCTGCTGTGTTTTGAACATATGTTAGAAGCAACTTCTCTGTGCAACTTGAAAACCTCAGTATTTGAGGTCAAGTCTGGATTTTTCTCCCAGTTAACAGAATTTAAATACAGCAAAATTGTTAGAATTTAGAGTGGCAAATCTGAATAGTATAAAGCCTACTGGTGACCCTGTGAGAGAAGCATGATTTCTCATTTCATGAAAATAAATTATGAGCCATTTATTTGTTTCCTCAAGATGAAATATTTTTCAAGATATTTTTACATGATAATAAGTGTTTAGTGTTTATATCTGCTGTATAATGAAGTGTGAATAAGAACTTCGAAAACTGAAATTCTAAAAGGTGGCTAAATGTTTTATCTAATACACAAGCTGTAAATTATATGTGTTTTGTGTTAAACTTAACTGTTTCTGAATTTCATGTAGTATGAATTACAACTGTGCCATTACAGATAGAATTGTTATTCTTGGTGCATCTCATGAATAATCTATGAGGTATTTCCCCTCATCGTAACAAAGTACTGAAGTATAATATCTATCCAGCTGCAGTATCAAATGTGTCAGTGTATAACATTCCCAAAATTAGTGCAGTGTTCCACAGTAGTGTTAGGCGAAATGAAATTTCAGACATTTTCAGTCAAATCTTGGTCATACCAAGTTGAACAATCCCAGGTGCATATAAGAAAAAATTTGGGAAACATGATTTCTCTGCAGGTATAAAATCTATATAATAGATATTTATTTTAAAAACTGTTTTATATTTTTTCATGTAATAGTGAAAGAAAGCTAAAATAATTCATTTTTATTTCCCACTGTCATATTTTAAGATGAAATTATTTTCCATTTTGGGAACTTTGGAAAATTTTGACTCTGAAAAATTAAAGGAATATTTTGGCTTTGAAAAATAAAATACAGTCAAAAGTCGTTAATCCGGACTCGTCGGGACTCCCGCGATTCCTGATTATAGATCATCAGTTTAAATCTGGTAAGATGGCATGCAGAAATTATAAAATAAAAAATATGAAAACGTAATTTATGAAATAAAGAACAATTATAATCTAAAGGGTATCAAAATTTAAAAAAAAAAAAAAAGCTTAATATTTATTTGTTTACTTTATTAAACATTTCTTTCAATGTAAGTTGTTTAATTTGCTTCTTTTCATGTGATAATACTTTCTCTTTAATTCTATAAACAGACACAATTTCTTGTTCAGTTACAGAGTTCCGCTGTTCAAGTCCTATAATTGCTGTGTCGAGAATACCGACTAATTTGTCAATCGAAATTTTTTCATTTTCAATAACTTCTGTGTCACTTTCTTCACTATCGGAAGCAAATTATAATGACGAGGAATTTGATTTAAATCGTATCAAAGACGGAATACATCGAGATGAAATACTACATTTAGTAAGCAATTATAAGCCAAATAAAATGAAAACAGCTGCCCTGAAGATAAGGATAGTGCTGACAGATCAACTTCCAATTTATAACGCACCATGGCGTTGAAAGCATCTGCCCTGAAGATACGGATAGTGCTGACAGATCAACTTCCAATTCATTGCGCGCCATCCCCCCCATCCCCCACCACAGAGCAGCGTGAAATTGATAAACAGATTTTGGAATGGTTAGGTCATTTTTTGCAGCAATTCCACTTTTGTTTAATAGACTTCGAAACATACGTTCGCTTTGGTAGATCCTTTACATATTAGTAAATATATATCAGAAATTCTATTTGACATAAGCGAAAGTTCAAGCTTACTTTTATAAAATTGCTCTAACAGTCTGCAAAAAATAATAAGCCGGATCCAATTCGAAGATTAAGGAACAACGCAATCAGCAACATTAACTGAATTAGATAATTTTAGCTTAGCTTATACCGTCCGTTATACATTAAACGCGCATGCGTAAACGTATTTTGCGCACACACCTATTCGCAGCCGTAAAGGTCTTACGCGCATGCATCAAGGTGACGCATGCGCAGAAATTTTGTAGCTTTGAAGTCCGTATTATAGATCATTCCAGATTATGGGTGTCCGAATTAACGACTTTTGACTGTAATATAATAAATGCTATAAAGCACATATTATAAAAAAACGAACAAGTTAATAATGATATAATTGGTAGATTTCAGCTAGGTGCTTTGGAAAGTAGGGAAGTTTCAGAAGCAAAACCAAAAAAGTTACTGTAATTATTTTAAGATTATTTTCATTTCTTTTTAATATTTGCTCATGATAACTATATCCTGTATAATTGTTTCTGTATATTTGAATGTGTATCAGTTTTCTCGGCTACAATGTAGAATTGGGTGCCCTTTTGATTAGTGGCAAATTTTGTTCTGTTTTGCCGATGAGATCCCCATTTCTGTTTACCATGATAGTTTTAACTTTATTTTAGCTTCCTCATTTTTTTAAAGTGAAAATAGAATGAATTGTACATGAACAAATTTAAGGCAGTGCACAATGCCTAGGTTGTGCAACTCTCTGGTAGTTTTTTTAAGTGGACATAGATCAATGTGTACATGGATACCGAGTAAATGCAATTCTTTGACTTCTTATTATGGTTTTGTGTAGCAGCCACCTTGAAATTGTGACTTCTTGGTGCCGATGTTGGTGTCAAAAAAGAATCTCTAAAAATGAAAAAAAAAGGGGGGAGGGGACCCAATTGTAAACTTTTACCATTTTGCCATTTTCTCTATAAAATTCAGTCTACACTTTTCTGATTTCTCTTCTTTTTTTTCTTTTTTCAAAATTCAAAAATATTCTTTCTGTTTCCTCAATAAACATTTGTAGAGATGCTTTTTCTTTTTGATTTTAGAACTTGTATCCTCAGGCTTTGAAGGCATTATACATGGGCATATAATTCCTAAAAGGTGTGACAAAATGGCTAAGTCTTCTTATTGGTATTATCATTTAACCTTTAACTGCTGTGACAGTTTTTTCGACGTAATAACTGTGAACAGTCTCACAGACCGCTTTTAAGAAACGCGTGAAAATACATACTTTTATGCCTTTTTAAGGAATTATGCATATTTATGGAATTCTAATTCATTTAAATCAATATATTTTAAACATAAATGATTTGATTTTATGCAGTTAAATTCTTATAAAAATATGACTATTTTCTTCACTTTAAGGAAAAAAGTATTTAAAGAACAAAGATTTTAATAAACATACATGAAAATGTGGGACTTTATTAAGTAATACTGTCAATTAAACCATAATTCTACAAGAGTGAATTCAATTATTAATAAATAATAAATTAGTATATCTTTGTTTACAAGAATGAATCATACGATGATATACAGTCAAAACACATTTTTTGAGAGCACTGAAGACACACTGGTTCCTTGCATTCCAAGCATTTGTATGTTGTTTTTCTGCTCTTACAAGGTGGGCACAGATTACATGTTTTTCTTTCTTCTAATTTCGCTTCTAATTCTGATAAATCCATTTTCTTAATTCCCTTCTGTCCAAGGATTCTTCTAATTGATATCTTCAGTTCCCTTGGCAAGAAAGCGAAACTTATCCCAACTTTCAGATGTGGTTTAATAAACTGATTAGCTAATAAAAGCATTTTTTTTTTTTTTTCTTTTCAGTTTTGTAGCATCAGGATATGACTGGAACAATATGTATGAACATAAATTCTAAGTATTTTTGTAGGATGTTTCAGACCTCAAAAGCTTTGATATTACTTTTCTCGTTATTACTTTCTCGGAAGCTGAACTATTGTGTTATATTTTGGTGTTCGTACTGCCCGACTTGCGTTCACGTCGCGTTCACGCATGCGCATAGGCGTTTACGCGTGCGCGTAAGACCTTTACGGCTGTGAATATGCGTGTGCGCATGCGCATAATACGTTTACGCGTGCGCGTTTAATGTATAACGAACGCTATAAGCTGATCTAAATTTTTTTAATTCAGTTAATGTTGCAGATTGCGTTGTTCCTTAATCTTCGAATTGGATCCGGCTTATTATTTTTTTGCAGACTGTTAGAGCAATTTTATAAAAGTAAGCTTGAACTTTCGATTATGTCAAATAGAATTTCCGATATATATTTACTAATATGTAAAGGATCTACAAAGCGAAAGTATGTTTCGAAGTCCATTAAACAGAAAGTGGAATTGCTGCAAAAAATGGATAAAGGCATATCCTTTGATTATCTAATCATTCCGAAATATGTTTATCAATTTCACGCTGCTCTGCGGGGGAAGGGAAACGACACGGCGCGCAATGAATTGGAAGTTGATCTGTCAGCACTATCCTTATCTTCAGGGCAGATTTTTTTTTTATTTTATTTGGCTTATAATTCTTTACTAAATGTAGTATTTCATCTCGATGTACTCGGTCTTTGATATGATTTAAATCAAGTTCCTCGTCATTATAATTCGCTTCCGATAGTGAAGAAAGTGACTCAGAGGTTATTGAAAACGAAAAAAAATTTCGATTGACAAATTAGTCGGTATTCTCGACACAGCAATTATAGGACTTGAACAGCGGAACTTTATAACTAAACAAGAAATTATGTCTGTTTAATAGAATTAAAGAGAAAGTATTATCACATGAAACGAAGCAACTTGAACAACTTACATTGAAAGAAATGTTTAATAAAGTAAACAAATAAATATTAAGCTATTTCTTTTTGTAAATTTTGATACCCTTTAGATCATAATTTTTCTTTATTTCATAAATTACGGTTTCATATTTTTAATTTTATAATTTCTGCATGCCATCTTACCAGATTTAAACTGATGATCTTTAATCCTGAAAAATCGGTAATCCGGAATCGCCGAAGTCCCGACGAGTCCGGATTAACGACTTTTGACTGTATTAAGGTATATCAGTTAAATGGATGTCTCAGTGCTCTACATATTGCAATCACAAGGCATTTTTCCTCCTTGTACAATCTCATACCTGGTACTGCATAAGTTGTTATTTGCTAGCGAATGTACTGTAAAGAGCAGACATAGGTTATTTTTTTAACAAGATATATTGTTACTTACATAGTGGAGATAATAATGCATATGAAAATGTGTGTGAAATCATATTTTTGCATTGTTTCTTGAGGAATGGAATTACAGTTTCCCTTCTAAAATTTCATAATTATATTTACATAATTATACATTCATTTATGTAATTATATTTATCCACTGTTTCACAATTGTTGAAAAACAATGCCATTTTTCGTAATAACTGAGGTAGACATGTTTAACAAAATGACAGCATATATTAACCCGCGATCACGCGAGCCTGTTATCTCATACCCGGGGGATATTCTTTGACCCTTATCTCCAAACCCCTTTCTTGGAAATAGGCAAAACCTTTTGTAGCTGAATTCAAGGTGACATTCTTGAAGCTGGGAAATCCGTGGAGTGATTCTTCGAATACTTTTCTAGAAATTGTACCGTTTGGGTATGTGACACTCGAGCGCCTTCTCTCGTCTCAGATTTTCATGCTAACTTTCTTAGTTATTCAGCATGGCGCGACATCTAAGTTATGATATAGAAATGGAAAGGTTGAAAAATATGCTAGACATTTCAACAGATGATGAATCGTTTAGCGAAGTTGAGGAAGAATTAATAGATGAAGATCGTAATTCATCAATTGACAGTGTTACAGATACTGAATTAGCGAATTAGAAAATCAATCAAATTATGATATGTCCTACTATCACTTATGCACAATGATAATAAAATTGATGAAACCACTGGAGTACTAAA